GAATACCAACGGAGAGCATCCACACCAGTCCACCACCTTCTTCAGCATTGCACAACGACACCCCTGTTTTCGTTTCCAATTCGTTAAACGTAAATTCCCTTTGATCGTACGATTACAATACACTGAGTTTGCCGATAGCTGTAGAAAATAACAATCAAATGGTCATTTTTGATAAGACTTTCACCACTGAGAAATATGGAGAAGCTGAAGCACGATATTGACGCACCGTATGAAAGAAACTTTCCACAGGCAGTAAAATGTTAGCGAACATTTCGCGCAACGATCGCACAAGAGCGTCGTTGGTAAGCGCGAATTGTGCAAAGTCACGGCTTAAAACCAGCCAATCAGATCCACCATCGAAACGAATTGAATCTGGGAAAACGGATCTGAAATGAACAAATCACAAATGAACTATTAGGTTCAATTTTCTGTATTGAGTTTCCGTTTCGTACATTTATAAAGAAGTTACTGATTGAAGCATTCAGGACAAATATAATATATTTAAGAATGAATGATTGGAAGTAGTAACAAAGTTCTAGCCTCTTCCCAAGTCTCCACATTCGACTTTCACATTCAAAGAAGACATATTCTAAGCCCTGCTTTTGTATGAAACGAGCCGTATCATAACCATGACTACTGAGAAAGTTATAACCTTTATTCCTGAAATAATCCACAGTAAGAATAATAAAATTATAACTTTTGGAAAAGCTGACGGCTCCAAAATACGAACGAAAAATTAGATATTTCCACTTGTTTCGCATTAAAATGAGATATACCGAATGAGGACTTCAATATACGAGACCATGAACGGTCATATGTTACCTGGCCAAATGATACTCCAATTCCTGGAGTGACAGCAACGGGAAATCCGTTTCACTCAGATTTAAAATAAAATCCCAATTCAGCCATCCCATTTCCTCGAGTGCACACTTAACCGCATCCAAGTACATCGACAGAAGGCTTGCGGCACCCCATATCGTGGCGTGTCGCTTCTCCATTACGTGAATATTTTTCAATCCATTTGCCTTCGCTCGATCGGCAAATTTCTTCATTTCTGAAATGGAAAACAAAATGCACACACTCCACTTATTGCAATTACAAGAAAAGCGATCAAGCAGTATAACTCAACGACGCAAAGCAACAAGCCAG